TTGCCGGAGAAATTGTTCTTTCGCGGGAAATGTAAAAAGTAAGCAATGATGTAAGACTGAGTAATGAAGAAACTCTGTCTTTATTATCTATCTGAACACAGCTGCTGTCATCAAAGACAGACAGCCATCACTGAATTATCACATATATATATTGATTGACCTCAACAGTGAAACGTCAGCCATATTGGTGTGTTAAATTTAGATAACCCGTTTGCGAAAGACTTTTTTACGAGCCAGTGAATTCGATGAAATATCATGTTACCCTCAGGGTGACATACTATCCTAGCAACTAACTCTTGTTTGAAAATAAAGTCAACAAAGCCGCAAATAAACGTCTTTGTGACTACATTAGTAGCAATTAGACATTGCCACTTGCATTTCATATTTTTCCTTCTCTTTTCCTGTTTGATTTTCATTAGCATCAGATACATCATTCTCCATTTAAGGAGAATCGATTGTTTCTGGCAGCTAACATTTACCGTATTAATTAGAAGGAACGTATCGGAGAGTTTTAACCTAGCACCAAAAAAAAAAACAATAACAAATAAACAAAATGCAACCTTTGTACCATAAGAAAGTTTCCGTAAATCTTCATAAATTCTCAGTCGCCTTTCGAGTACAAATGATCACATTTTGCAGTAATTATTCACGTTTAAATCTGGAAACGAAGAAAACACTACGCAAGGATACCGAGCACCGGTGACAAAAATCCAGTGTACCTTCTACATACATAACCAGTAGCTTAATATTCGTTAGCCGTAAAAAACTATTATTTAAATTCCCTTTACTCTGAAAATAAATTTAAAATTGCGTGACAAGCGTTACAGAGTCACATGATCGATGAGTATGTGTATCAGGCCTGGGTTCTATAAGAGCAAAAACGGTCCTTCAAGTCGTTTAAGGCCCAGCTCTAGCTTCTAGCTTGACTTGTGCTCACGGGAAGTTCGACCGTGGAGCGACTTTGATTCAAACGTCGAACTTTCCATGTACCGAATATCTGTTCAATTTAGATTTGTATTTGTACGTTGCACTTTGACCAAAGCAAAAATTTGAGTCGTTAAGTTAAAAGATTGAGTACTTGAAATGATTTAAACTTTATTAACTGGGTGGACACCAATTGTTATTTAAGTTAAGCACATGAAAATTGCGACATCTGACCTGTTTAAACTTTTGACTCCCATAAATCATGGACATGTTAGACCAGTGATGATTTTAGATATGTGAAAATTCATATATTTGAACTGCGGTGGAGAGATGAAATTAAGAGATCCTCGCAGCTAAGAACACTACTGAAACGAGTAGTTGTAAATAGGACCTGAAAAAATCATTCGTCACTTGGATGTTTATTTGGACCCAATTCATTGACCAGCTTTTTGGAGTTCTCATTCGTATCAAGAAATGGCCCATTGTTCCGGGTCAACTTTTCCAAACAAAAGTCCTGAGTAATTGGTAGTCCTCAAGGACTTTGGCCGAAGGGAGGCGGAAAAGCTCGTAACTGATCGAGAAAATTATCGGAGTGACAATTTTGCTGCACTGGGGGAGTGGGTAGTGTAAATATGAACTAGTAAAATCAATCTCCATCGGTGTACCCAGGGGTAGACTTGACCCTCGTTTAGCGCATCGATGGAGCCAAAGGTTCGCAAATTCAGAAATAATTAAATTTGTCCGTATTGCAGTGACTCATTTAAACCACCTCTCTCTATATTTAAGTCAAGTCGCCTGGTTTTTACCAGTCAGTTTTGTCAACGTACAAATATATTTTTTGGTCTTACTACTGATGTCAAATACAATCGAAAGTGACGGTTTTCTGTGGAGAGCCTCGATGCGATTAAAGACCTTGTTTCTGGCGCACAGCTGTTTTCAAACGAGGCGCTCATC